GGTTTTTTTTTTTCCTTCTCAGTATCAGCAGTCTCCCCAGTAACAGAAAACAAACCAAGAAGCAGCTCAAGAATTTGCCCAATATTGGCTTAGTTATGTTGGCAAGTTCAGTAAAATCTGGTCTTCATATTGTGTCATAACAAAAGCTGAAGCAACTATTTGATATGGAATGAAAAGTGATCTTAAATGTAACAACAGGGAGCAAATGAGGGGGAGTTCTCTCAGATTTTCTCCACTCCCTGCTAAAGATTTTGCTGAGACCCATCCAAATTTCTCTCACCCTCCTCATAAAACACAATCTTGAGGACTCTCTGCATAGCAGTCAAGACGTCATTGTTGGCAAAACTTCATCTTGTATGAGAGAAACCACTATCCCAGCAGCTCATGGTACTAACAAGTTCTTTAAGAACATTCAGACGTGGGTTTGCAATTAAATTTAGAAACCTGTCATCAGTCTTTGCAAGCCTAAATAGAAAAGGTACCAATTACTAGAATTCCCCATTATTCTGTACACTGCTAACTTAGCAAAGGCACGCACTAAGCAAGAATTCCCAGGGACATCGAATACCATTCTTTTCTCACTGAAGAGCTGCAGAGAAGCTGAAAGGAGTGATTTTTTTCCCTTCATTCCTTCTCTTTTCCATGATTTCATGACTCAATTTCTCGAAGCAATCCTATCCTATTTTTTAAATTATAGCAGCTACATCTTAAGAGAAACCACACAATTATTTAACAAAAACAGAACCATATAATCTGTTTGTTTTGCATGTCATAGAGAGTGCAGTTACATTCTGAAGTATAATCCACTCTGGTTAAGACACTAATATTTTTCCAGGTTCATGTACAAATGAAATTACTTCTGGAAGTTCTGCTGAGCACTACACTATAAACAACACAGAAAAACACACTGTATGTTCATCAGGCCCACCTGTCATATAGAGTGGCTGGAATCAATTGCTTTGTGTCTGAACTGTTAAATTTGTTTGAAAGATTTGAGACAGCAAGACAATTCCTCCTCTTCCTTCCAAATCTCAAGACACTTTCACAGTCCAAAAATCTTTACAAGAGATTCTCTAGATATAAATGAAGGGTCTCAATTTGAAATTCCAGCATCAATAAAACCCCAGAATAGTCTAACTGAAAGGGCCTAACTTAGGGGAAGAAAAAAAAAAAGTTAAAATTCATTCATCTGAAGCCTGCAACTTGCTTTCTTTTTTTGTGGTAAGGAAAACTAGACTTAAATTCCAGTTTGTAATAATAAATACCAGGGGAGTCTCTCCCACAATAAACACATGTCAAGCTCACTCATTTTCTAAGACTGCATTAAGTATTTGGCCAGAAATCTTGCAGTTACTCCTCCCCTTGTTTTAGAGTAAAACATCCATGACTCTACAGAGTCCAACGGTTGTAGTATGAGAAAGACTTTACCACTGGCACACTGTTTGAAGCTTGCATGAAGCATAAGTCATTTCCTAAACCTAAAATATACATGAAACTTAATGAGATTCCAATATAGGCAAAACACAGTACTGAAGACATTTCATCGAAGGAAGTTGGTTACACCTCAAAGTCTTTGCTCCCAAATATACATTTGGGAATTAAAGATCTACAACCTGCCAAACAGACCAGCAATGGAACACCAGCCTATCATGCTTTAACCCCAGTCAGCAACTAAGTCCCACACAGCTTCTCATTCACTCCCCCCCCGGTGAGATAGGGGAAAGAAATCAGAAGAGTAAAAATGAGAAAACTCATGGGTTGAGATAAAGACAGTTTAATAGGTAAAGCAAAAGCCCCGCATGCAAGCAAAGCAAAGCAAGGAATTCATTCACCACCTCCCATTAGCAGGCAGGTGTCAAGCCATCCCCAAGAAAAGCAGGGTTCCCACACGTAACAGTTACTTGGGAAGACAAACATCATCACTCCAAACATCGTCACCTTCCCCCAGCTTTATATGCTGAGCATGACATCAGATGGTATGGGATATCCCTTTGGTCAGTTGGGGTCAGCTGTCCCAGCCATGTCCCCTCCCAGCTTCTTGTGCACCCCCAGCCTACTCACTAGTGGGGTGGGGTGAGAAGCAGAAAAGCCTTGGCTCCATGTAAGCACTGCTCAGAAGTAATGAAAACATCTCTATATTATCAACACTGTTTTCAGCACAAATCCAAAAACATAGCCCCATACTAGCTACTGTGAAGAAAATTAACTCTATCCTAGCCAAAACCAGCACACAGCCACAGAAATATAATGCACGTCTAACAGCCTCTAATTTAGAGGCAATACCAAGATGGTTTCTCATTCCCATCTGCAAGTCAAACTTGTAACTCCCAATATTGTCTTTGAAAAGTTGATTAAAAAAAAGAAAAAGAAAAGGAAGAGGATATTCTTGGTTTCACCTGCATCCTATACAAAAGCAGCACTTTCTGTATCGTACATGCAGTCAGAGAAATCCTCTTAGCATCTCTGGGGGGCCAGATGCTCAATGTTTCACACAGCTGCTATCTTCAAGAACGCAGTTTCCAAACTACATTTCCTCCAAGTATGTGAACAGTAAGATTTTCAGTTGCTTGAAGAGCAATACAGAAGTTTGAAGATTTTCACTGAAAGAGTAAAATACAGTGTCCAGCAAATTTTTATTTTCCCAGAATACGTAAGTACTAAAGCTGTTAACACTCCTCCCCCCTCACCATACAAACATACAGCCCTACCTCTTCCACAGGAAAAAAAAAATATTATTTGCTTTAATCTTTCTTGAAAGTAGTTTAAATATTTTTCACCAGGTTTTCTAAAACTGATCAGAATAAAGCAGACACTCTGTATGCAAAATATAAGCCCAAACAGTTTGGCCATCTTACCAGCAATTGCACCACTCTCTTATAGGGGAAAGCTGTCTGACAAACAAATGGAGGATCACTACCAGTTTTGACTGTACTGTACAAGCCATAAAATGAATAAGTTTTAGTCCTTTAGTTGCTTCAGAGATCCCATTTTTTTCCTTTGCCACCTTAGCTATTTGCTGCAGAGGATGTAAATCCAGACATTGCAGTCTGTGTTTTATTAAAAAGCCTTCTCCATTTCTTTTTTTAACTTACAGGATGAAATCAATCAAAACAGAAAAAAATACTTATGAATCATATGCCCTAAAGAGAGGGTCAGCCTTTAACTACCTAAAATAAAAGCAGAGGCATCTTTAGAGACAGCAATTGGTGCTCATACGCACCAGTACCACTATGGATACCTCTAACACTGATCACAAAAAGCTAAGTAGCACTATCTCTACAGGAGAGATCAGAACAGAATTGCCTTAACATGATACCCTCGACTCCTCTTGGGAGGGACTTCAAACAACTCGACAGTGGTAGCCCACGGGAAGAAACAGACTTTGTCCAGCACTCTCCTCCCATGCTCTCCATCAGGGCTCTTTCACAGTGCTCAGTGACTGAGAGAACACTCTACAGTGCCTGTTCCTGTCAGCACCCTCCTATAAGAGCAACGATGCTTTTCTGCACTTGGATGCCTGGTGAAAGCAGGGACTCATGTATGAAAAATGAGCCACTGTTCCTGTCAATCCTTGCCTTTTCCCTGTTTGAGAATGAAGGCAGAAGAAAATATTCTTAAGAACCAGAGGACTGACTTAAGAGTCTATGGGCATCTATTGAGACAGTCTAGTTTTTCTGTAAGCCTTCAAATCCCCCACTAGCAGAGACCAGAAATCCTTTTAACCCTTCTTTGCTAAAACTGCATCCATTCCTCAAAGAACAGGGTTTCCAACCCTACGATCAATAGCTGCTTCTCAAGGAAACTAATCAGCACTTCAGTGCTGCTGTGATTAGAGACCACAGCCAGGAAGTGCACTCACTGTTTTCACCCTGTCACAAAGTAATGTGACAAGTTAGATGTTATTTATTTCCAGCAACATTTCAGGACAAAAAAACCCACAAGCCCAAAATAAAAAAAAAAAAAAAACAAAAAAAAAAAAAAAAAAAAAAAACAAACTAAAAAAAAGAAACAAAAAGCCCACTCAACACCCCACCACAATAAACCTCTTTTACCTCCGGGTTAGCTGCTAAACTGCCAAAGTGTGCCAATAACTAATGTAAAAAAAAAAAAAAGGAGTAAGGTTAAATATCCCCAGTAACTAAGCATCGTTTTAGAATCAGACCCACAGCTTATCTTGATCACACAAGACTGGTGAGCAAGAACTAGGTTACCCCAGGTTGTCAGCTGCAGAGTCTGAAGCCCAAGCCCTCTCTCCCTCGAAAGACAAACACTTGGAAGCTGTGATATTCTCAGAAAGCTGAGTTAACTTGCTGTAAAAAAGCTGCTTAGTAGACTACACATTATCTTTTGGGAGGCATGATGAAATATTCATTTCTGGTCTAAGGCATCTATCACAACATATGGACGCCCATTAGTTCTCACACAGAGTAACAGCTAAGTAAAAAAACATAGCACTGGAACAGAGAAACCCAAATTCCAGCTATTATATAGCTGCTGTGAATGTTATCAAGAACCATTCTCCCCCTCATACCACACTGCTAGCTTTCAACTCAAAAGGACTACACAAATGAATTCCCGAGACTTAAGGTAACAAAGGAATGTATGTACTGAACACCTTTGACTGCTCTGGTAAGACACATCCATCGTGCTGTTGCACAGTTACTGAGGAAATAGTGACTAGCAACATCTACTGAAGATCAGGATCCCAAAGTGCTGATGCTCAACTGTCCCAATGCAGAACTCTTCCAGGCCAAACCACACATCAATAAAGACAACACAGGGACAGAATCATTCACACAGGAATACATACTCGGTCAGTCCCAGGCCACAGTAGGAGTTAAAACATAGCTTTCTTACTGGTATGTTACATGCTACTTTCCACCCCACACACCTTCCCCAGAAAACCAACAACAAAACAGAAACTTGCATGAGGTCCAAATACTTGAAGGTTTCTGCTAGGCAAATTGAGAAGAGTAGACTGAAATTAACCTGTATCATACTCTTCTGCATTAAGTGACAACACAAGCTCTCTTCTAGAGCCTAGATGAGTGTTATCCAGGAAAGCAGCAGAAAATTGCTTACTTTAAGAACTCAAGTGTCCTCTTTTACCCCTGAGTAATTACAGAACACAGCAGACATTCATTCTGGAGAGCTGAGTACAATAGCTGTTTGTTACCATCAGTGTTACAGTCTAGCATTTATCTAAGGCTATCACACACAGAACAGACAGCATAAAAATGCTCAAGAACTCAAAGTACTACCCAGAAGAAATTAGAGGCAAAATCCCAAACACCAGTACACTAAGGCTTGGCCCACAACTCACAATTTAGCCACTCAGGAATCTATCTGTTGAGCGTATATTTACCCAAATTTCACCTAAGAAGCATTAGGCATAGCTAGTCAGAGAATAAGCAGCAGAGAAATATTTAAAGCATTGTAACATACTGCTGGTAATGGAAATTCAATCTTACAAGTTGAAGACACAGGCTTGATAAAGAGGAAGAGTGCCCATACATGTTCATCATTAGAAATAAGTTTTCATTATGAACTCAGAAGTCCGTAACCAAAGGTGTAAAAGTCTGCATTTACATAAGAATCTTTTTTTCTACCTGGATACCTCACAAATTCCTTGACATTGAAGCCTAATCTTAAATTTTAAAAAACCCAAGTTGTTACCTTCCCATATCCTTCCCAGGTGAGAAGTTCAAATTCCTTTACCCCCCATGCATCCTACAGCAGTACCAGGTTAGACTTTCCCAAATCACAGACTTTCATACACACACAAATCCTGCCCCAATGTCCACTTTCTTGTACAAACACCACCAGATTCACCCACACTGGAGTTCAAATTGAGAAAACTCTTACCTGACATTGCCAGACAGGATTTTAGGAAGCATCTGACTCAACCTTCTAAAACAGCATGTAGCATCTTAAAAAGCTACCTTGTTTACATGAAGAGCAAGAGTAAAAGGCACTAGTTAAGACTGGTGTGAGCTGCCAGCCCCCTCATTTACTTGCATGCCTAAGCTTCTGCAAAGGAGAGCAGTCCAACAACACTGAGATACTGCATGGGAAATGTGAAAAAGCAGCATTTATCCCATGCTACAAAAAAGATTCCTGTCCCATCTTGAGGAAAACAGAAACAACAGGATTTCAAAAATATCTATTCTATACATCCCTGAGTAACCTCCCACCCAGAGATAGTAAGAAACTCAAATAACATCAACAAATAATTCACCCTTTCCTCTATTACAGAAACATACATAACATTCATAAGCATTTTCTAAACATTTTCTATTCCAAAATGATGAGACTAACTGTTCTACTTAATTTACTGTGGTCAGTATATTTCAGTCCCTAATTATTATTTTTAAAGATTGCACATTGGCTGAAGGAATGCAATCAGCTGAATACAAATACTTGTTTGGACTCTTGCAGAACAGCAACACATAGTTTTCCAGAAGGGCACACTAGATTGAACATGTAATTACAAGCTCAACTGTAACAGCACAAATAGACTAAACAAGCACTGTTCAAGTTACTCATGCTCAGCTTCGAAAGTTTGACCCCTGAAGCCAGAAGTACATTCACAAAGGAGAACCAATTTTCCCAAAGACAAACACAAGTTTAAGCAAGCTTACAAATCCTGAGTAATCAGAGTACATTTAGTCAAGACTAAATTTCTCCATCTCAAAAGTTTCAGCTGACACAGAAAAAAATTGTATTTCCCCTTCCAGTGCTTACATTTCTCCATAGACTACTATAACTGCTGCACCACTAACAGACAATTAATCCACTTGATCTGCATCACAAAAAAATATATTTTTTTAAGTAGAAGTCAGACTTCCCCAGTGAGTTCCCTTCCTCTAAAAATTCCAAGATCTCGTAACTCTCTTCTCTCACAACTTTCTGCCACTCATAGCTTCAGGAGACAATTGTCTGTATCTTGGTTCTTCCTACAGAGAAATACACTTACAGCCAAACCACCTGCAGCTACAGCTCTTACTATGGCCTTCTGCAAAACAGGTACAATTTCCATACTGTACTTTTGCAGCAGTATGTAAAGTACGTAACTAAAAAAGATATTTAAACAAGTCCACTCTCTATATGTTTTATTGTAGGTTCAAAAGAAAGTACTTCTGGAGCTGAATTATTGCTAAGTACAGAAGTTTTATGAAAGAACTATGGCTCCATACTAAATCTGTGCAAGGTTTATCTCCCCAGTGAATCAAAACACCATTAAAATTAGGTGCCCAAAACAAGACGACTGCTACTCTAGAATCAGCTCTCAGATTAAAAACTAAGCCTAAAAACTATCTGAGGCATCACAGATGTGAAATAATGGTCAAACCTGGAGGCTAGAAAGGCCAGTTCCTCAGAAGTTCTGGGTGCCAGCAGCAGATTGCCAGTGAACCTGGTATTGCCTATCTCACTCGTGTAAGGTCACAGACATGTCAGTTGGAGCAGATCTCTGGAGGCCAATAGTCCCACCATCCTCTCTGAATAGCAAATATCATGCCCATCTGCAAGAAGCTATATCTGGGGTCAGCCAGCACAACCCAAGTCACTGCAGAGCCAATCCTTCTGGAAGCCATTTCTAGGCATGTGAAGAATGAGGTCATGACTGGGAACAGCCAGCATGAGGTTAGACAGCACACCCAACCAATGCGACTGTATTCTAGGACATGAGGAGGGTCTCTACAGGCAAAGGAAGAGTAGTGGATGTTGTTTACTGCTGTTTTAGCAAAGCCTTTCACTTGGTCTCCTGTGGCATCCTCAGTTTGTTGAGAGATGGATTGAATAAGTGGACAATACCACTAGGCTCAAGGCTTGTGATCAGAGGTACAAAGTTCAACTGCAGGTTGTCCCATTTCCATGGAAAGAACTGCAAACTTCACTAGGCAAAACCTTGAATAACATGGTCTAACTGGACTCAACCTGCTCTGAGTGGCAAGTGGGATCAGTTGAGGCCCAGAGGTCCCTCTGACCCAAGGTATTCCACAATTACATTATATCTTCTGGTTTTTAATAAATAAAAACAAAAGGACTGTTGCAGTCTGGGATTGCATTAGGTCATCCTTCTGCCACCCTCCTGGTTTCAGCAGACAAAAATTGACTAAGAGCCACACCAGAAAAGGAAGTACTGTGGAAAAGGACAGTAATCACTCTGCTTATAAGATTCACAAGTCATTCTGAAATAAGCCTCACTACTGTATTCTCAAAGTAAGATTCTCAGAATTTAGTGTCTACTCGGGATTAACAACAACAACAACCACCTCCAAGCAAAACCCCCAAACACATTTTTCCCACACACCTGCAACTGAAGTGCTGAAGTTATTACTAGACTCTTGCAACAAGCCCATTTTGTTAAATATGTCAAATACATTTAGACTGTTAAGAATAAAAAAATCCCACACCTGGTTTGCAGTCAAGACCCAACAGTAGAAAGGTCCCAAAACAGAGTTCATGCATAAAAAACAACAAGAAACAAAGACAAAAGCACCAACCAAAAAAAGATTCCACCCTTGACTGTCTGCATACCCAACAGAGATAAGTAATAATCTTGAAACAGCGCAAATAAAAACAAGTTTCCATGTTACATCTTAAACTCTACAATGTCTTATCAAGGCAGCTAAAACTGAACAGATAGATACTTCATTTCCCCTTCCCCTCTGTTTGCATTAATTCCTGCAGGACTCTAGTACAAGATTTTAAGCACTAGAAAAGAAGTCATGGCAACATTTGCTGGATGAAGGCCAGGATCTCATATATCCACTCAAGCTTGTATCTCTGGAGACACTGTTTGTTCCAACCATAATTGAGTTACGTTCTGTGCAATAAGAAGGTGAATCAATTATGTTCACCACTAAACAGACAAGCTTAAGTATTCTCTCAAGAGCTTAAAATTTGTGCAATAACACCTTCAAAACACTGTTTGTTCTTTTTTAAGTAAGAACAACACTTTGATTCAACCTCTTCTCGTCCTGGAAGTTTCTGAGCTCACAAACTAGTGAAGCACACTGAAGTTTTAACCTATTAGGGCCAGGCAGCTGGGACTCTATTTTAAGTTTACTGTAAGATTCTGATGGAGTACTTTAAAGACAGCATCAGATAAAACTGACATTTAAGACTTTGGTAAGGCATTAAGACAATTCAAGTAGCAAATAATCATCACCTCAGACATTACAGTCCCATTTAAAAGGAAGATTTTAATCACATGTACAAAGACAATAATTAATACTGAAAATTCAATGGCTTTATAGTATTTTAGAGGTTAATCCTCTCAATCTTTGTTGTAATATTCTTATTACTTCAGCATATAGCTACAAATTGAACCAAATCACTGCAGTGAGGCTTTAGGTGGCTTTTATTAGGTGTCACTCTTCTCTACTTCAAATGAGATACACAGGTTGCCTTACTCAGAAAAAAGAAATTAAAAAGCCAAATTAAAGACCAATTTATGCACTTAGTCATATCACAATTTGATTTTTGCATAGTCACAGAAGTCACTGAGCACCAATCTTAAGAGTGTTTCCTGACACAGTCCCACAGATGTGAAGTCAGTCACATGCACTGCAAGACAACAGGCAGGCATTTTTTTGGCCCTACTCTAACTAGAGAAAACTGGCACACAAGCCCTTCAAGCTATGCATTTTCAAGTATTGGGTTTTGGGGTCTTTTTGGTAAATAGAGACTGAATTCACCTGTACTTAGATGAAACATCATTACTGTTAAAACAATCAAAGCCAGTATTATTTCTATTGCAGTGAATACCAAATTTTGTAAACTGATGAAAACAGGACCGGTTTATCTAATATGTAATTACCACAGCTTACTGAGGACAGTGTGCTTACCCATGCTATCAAGGTAAAATAAATCCTAGACAGGTCCTTATAAAGATTAAATAACCTCTTATTAAGAGTTGTGTAAGCTGTTTTAAAGAATATGCAGAGTATTTATACATGAAAACAAAGGGTAACTACTTGGAAAGAAATAGATACTATAATTTCAGTCCATACTGATTC